ATCCTGGCTTTATTTGACAACTGTATCCTTACAGTAGCTAAGGAAATCTTTTATATCCCTTTTTTATACCCCCTTCTTATGCCAGGTCAGTCATACCACTTTGATGTCTGGGTTTAGGACAGCTGCCATCAGCCATCCTATGACACCCACTTAACTGGCACACACCCAAACACACCCACAATGGTAGGAAGAATTAGCACAGACATAAAGTACATTGGTGGTGAGGTAGACACATAGAGAATATATATGTACAAGACAGTTCATTCCTCTAGTACTGCAAAGCCCAGATGTCCTTTTTATTTTCATAGTGTCCTCATTCTACTCCCCCTTGAGCCCAATGTTTCTGCTGGGCAAGTCACTCAGCTGGGTTCTCTGAGCTTTTCTTTCTATATAGTTCATCTCCATATGGACAGGGCTAGCTTAACTGCTAGAGACCACATTCCTCAGAGCTGTGTCCTGGCAGCCCAGATTACTGGGCTTGCTCCATGCTGGGTATAATGCTTCCTACTGATCAAGTAGCTCCAATGAAAGAGATCATAACTGATAGGAGGGAGAGAGGAGAGAGAATCTTACCTCTCTTCCCCCCAAACCCATCCCTCAGTTTCTTCTTTCGTAGCTGGCTTTCCTCCAGACTGTCGGGGGTAATACTTCTCAGAGTTCTTTTGCCTCAGCTATCTCCCAGGATAATATATCCTGCTTTTTAAAAGCTACCAGGGGTGTAGCCTATCTTTGGCCTGCCAATATCTTGCTGCTCTTCTAATTCCATCAGGGAGAACTTTTGTATAAAGGGGCTACAGGCTGAAAACTGTTCTTTGCATTTCACTTAACACATTAACATCTTGGGATTTCTGTTACTTGCCCCTTCTATGATTTTGTTACATGGTCTGAGGGAAGATTTATTATGTGTCCCTACCCCAAAGATAAAGAAAACAAGGGTGGCCTATAAGCACTTTTATTTTTTCAAAGTTATATACTATATATGGATATGTTTTTCCTTCAAAGACACCTTATTTTAGGGATGTGGCTTATATTTTGACCCATGTAATACCAAAAGACATTTTTACTTTTAAAAATTGTTTCAAAGAAAGTTAGCACATCATTGAAATAGGAAAATTCCTATTGTAATCATCCTGAAAAATCAGCCTATAAAACATCAGTTTTATTACACATGCTTAAACTAGTAATTCATCAGCATGTTCAGACTGGCTGATAAGCTAGTCCTCTACTTGAATTTTTTTTTTTTGACTAATTGGCAAGTATGAGGACACCAATGCTCCACTTTTTCTATGTGTGTTATTTGAGTAACCCTCAACTTCCTATGGGCCTTTTTATTTTTTTAAGAAATGGAATAATTACTTTCAAAAATTTTATATGAAAAATAAATGAATGTTTAAAAAAACTTTCTTACAATTGAAAGCATGCTAAGCAGGAAATGAGGAAAGAATCAATTCAGAAATAAACGTAATATAAAAAATAGGCATCAATAAAAATAAAATCCAGCTCAAAAACTATATGTAGTATAGTAAAAATATGACAATCTCTTTTATTAAGATGAAATCCATTAAAACGTAAGGAATAGATATATTCATTCCTGAGTATCAGAAAATATTCTTATTTAACTGAATATAAAGGAATATCTTTATTAAACTGATAACAGTCAGTTATGGAACATTTTCTAAGAGAGGAAATATAGCTATAACAACCCCCATGAAGTGATTGAAGAGCTCCACAGAAAAAGGACATGCAGCAGGAAATTCCTGACTAGTAGTGTAATTTGTTGCATAAATGTGCTGGGAGATAAACAGATTTTCATCATTTTGCTTCTTTTTGCTTTTTAATAGTTACGTAAGATATCATTTTCCTTAATTTATTGGAATTTCATTAAAATACCATTTACTATATAGAAAATAATCCACATCCTACCTCTGCTGTACTACTATGTAAGGGGCTTTAGTTACTAAAATGTCAAAAAAAAATTGTTCTAAGGCATCAGGCCCCTCCTCTTCATTGCTACAACAAATACCTGGTTTCAGACTTTCATCTTTTCTCACCTAGATTACTGGAATAATTGGTCTTCCTGCCACCAATCTGTCCCTTCTTTATACCAAGGCTTGATGTATCTTCCTAATACATTGACTGTTGCTCTATTCAAAAACTTCTAGTGATTCCTGAAAACCACTCCCTATCCCCACTTTTTAATGGTCTAGAAAGGGTATTGGACTTGAAGTCAAGAGGCCTGAATTCTAATACCACCTCTGATATTTACTAATTATGTAACCACAAGCAAGTTGATTAATCTCTTGAACCTCAGATGCCCAATTTGTGAAAATTGGAATATCTGGACTACCGATCTCAGAAAATTCTGAGCATAAAATGAGATAATGCATTAAAGTGCTTTGTAAACCATAAATTAGTGTTATAAACGCCAGCTATCATTATTATTGATTACAAACTCCTTATCCTACATTCAAAATTCTCTGCAACTTGCTTTTCCAGTTCTGTCACACATTACTCCCCATTCACATACTCTGTTTTCCAGCCTTTGCTTTGTATGTAGGTAGTTATGTGATGAAGTGGATAGAATGCTGGATTTGGAGTCAGGAAGACTTGCATTAAAATTCTGCCCCAGATACTTATTTGTGACCTTGGACAAGTTATGTTAGCCTTAGTTTCCATATTTATAAAATGGAGCAACTATCTCATGGAGTTGTGAGGATTAAATGAGATGACATATATAAAGTTCTTTGCAAATCTTAAAGCACTGTATAGATGCTATTATTATTATTGTCATTATAATAGGAACGTAGATGAGAACCTTGCCTCATATTTTATAGAAAAAATTGAGGCCATTCACTGTGACCTCCCTCTTCTCCCCTCTTCCTCATCTTCTATCACTCAGATGCCTTCTGCCACTTTCTCTTTCTTCACCCTTGTCTTAGATGATGAAGTGGCCTTACTCCTTACCAAGGCTAATCCCTCTACCTTTTAAAGATATCTCATTCCATCCCATCTCCTCCAACAGATTGCCTCTTCTCTCATCCCCAAATTTCTTTCTTTTCAAATTCTCCATCTCTACTGGTTCATTTCCTACTAACTACAAACATGTCCATGTCTCTCCCATCCTGAAAAAACCCTCACTTGATCTTTCCATCCCTTCTAACTATTGTTTTATATTTCTTCTGTGCTTTGTAGCTAGACTCAGAAAGGCCATCATCTACAATAGCAGTCTTCTTTCCTCTCGGTCTCTTATAATCTTGCTTCCCACCTTACCATTCCCCCAAAACCGCCCTCTCCAGTTACCCATGACCTCTTAGGTGCCTTTTCTCAATCCTCATTCTATTCTCCTTGACTTCTCTGTAGCCTTTGACGTTGTTGATCACTCTCTCCTTTTTGATACTCTCTTCTCTCTAGGCTTTTGGGATACCATTCTTTCCTGGTTGTCCTCTTACCTATCTGGTCACGTCTTTTAAATCTCCTTCGCCAGATCATCTAGATCATGCCCTCTAACTGTAGATGTTCCTCTGGGTTCTGTCCTAGGCCTTCTCTTCTCCCTTATATTATTTCACTTGGTTATCTCATCAGCTCCTAGGGATTTAATTACCATTTCAATGATTATAATTCTCAAATCTACCTGTCCTGCCCCAACCTCTCTGCTGACCACCAGTCTTACATTTCCAACTTCTTTTCAGATATCTCAAACGTGTCCAAAACTGAACAAATGATTTCCTTCCCTAAACCCTTCCTGCTTCCACCTTTCCTATCACTGCAGAGGGCAACATTATCCTCTTAGTCCCTCGCCCTTGACTTCTTACTATCTCTCAACATCAGTCCCACCCCCCACCCCCAATTCAATCTGTTGCCAAGGCCTGTTGATTCCACCTTTGCAACATCTCTTGAATATGACTTCTTCTTAACTCTGGTACTGCTACCACTCTAGTGCAAGCCTTCATCATGTCACACCTTAATTTATTGCAATAACCTGCTGGTAGATCTGCCTGCCTCAAGTCTCTTCCCATTACAATCCATTCTCCATTGAAACAACCAAAGTTGTTTACTAAAGCACAGGTCCAACCTTATCACCCTTCCCCTTCCCCCCCATCCCTTATTCAGTAAACTTTAGTGGCTCCCTATTGCTCTCAGGATCAAATCCAGAATCCTCTGTGTGGAATTAAAAATCCTTCATAACCTAGCCCCCTTCCAGCTTTCCAGTCTCCATACATTTTACTCCTCACCGCACCCTCTTTGATTCTAGTGATACTGGCTTATTGTTCCACACACTGTCTCTTGGCCATAAGACTTTCTTTGGTCATCCTCCATTCCTGGAAAGCTCTGTCTTTTCAACTCTGCCTGCTGACCTCCCTAGCTTCCTTTAAATCCCAACTAAAATCTCATCTTTTACCTTTCCCGACCCTTCTTAATTCTAGTGCTTTCTCTCGGTTAATTATTTCCTATTTATCCTGCATGTAATTTGCTTTGTTTATATTTGTTTGTATGTTCTCTCCCCCATTGGACTGTAAGCTCCTTGAGGGCAGGAACTATCTTTTGCCTCTTTGTATTACTGGTGCTTAGCACAGTGCCTGGCATATAGTAAGCATTTAATAAATTTTTGATTGATTGATATTCCTCACCTCACCCCATTATATTGAAGCTGTACTCTTCAGAGACAGTTCAAGGACTACATCCTTCATGGATCTTTCCCCAACTTCACCTTCTGGGGTAGGAATATCTGTTTTACTCAGTCATTCATTCATTTGTCTATCTATCTATCTATCTATCTATCTATCTATCTATCTATCTGTCTGTCTGTCTGTCTGTCTGTCTGTCTGTCTGTCTATCTATCTATCTATCTATCTGTCTATCTATCTATTTCTATTGCATAGTGCTAGGCACATAGTAGGCACTTGATAAATGTTTATTGACTATGTTAAATACAAACTACTCTCCCTGTTTAAGAAGTGTCAGGACTCAAAGAATAATTTTTTTATTTTCTGCCTTACTAGGAATAAGGAAGAGCTCCTTGACAGGATGGAAAAAAATTCAAGAAGTCTTTTCAAGACTTGAAAAGGTAAGTGAGAATTGAAATGTCATTTTTACTACTAGTTCTTTCAGTTGAAGGCTAATTTCTTCTCCAATATTTTTCTTTTATGTTAGAGAAAAGGTGAGAGATAGTTTGTCAGACACAGGCTAGGAGAGTCCTTTAGATGTCCCCACTCTCCCAGAAACAGAAAGACAGGATTTAGATGTTTAAACTCAGAATTTCAGTGTTAAAAGGGAATTTAAGTATTATGTAGAGTTCAGACTCCTCATTTTACAGATGAGGAATTAAAGCCCAGAGAGATGGAGGAGTCTGACCACAGTAAAAGTAGCAGAGTCAGGTCTAGAACCCAGTGCTTTGCTTGCTTGCTTTTTTTTTTAAATTCAGTTTTGTTTTCAGTTCCAACTTCTCTACTTTCCACTTCCCTCTACCTTACCCATTGAGATAACAAGAAAAATAAAAACAATCATAAATTTGTATTGTCAAGCGATTTTCACATTAACCATGTCCAAAACAATTATGCTTCCATCTGTATTCTGAGTCTATCACTCTCTGTCTAAAAGGTTGGGTAGTATATTTGATTGTGAGTCTCCTGGAACTGTGGTCAGTTCCATTGTTCGATCTAAGTCCCTAAGTTTTCCAGAGTTGCTTGTCTTTACACCATGGTTATTGTATAAATTGTTCTCCTTCTCTTTGCCATCAGTCCATACAAGTCTTCCCAATTTTTTTCTGAAACTATCCCCTTCATTATTTCTTAAAGCAGAATTGTATTCTGTCATATCTGTAATATACCTTAATTTGTCCAGCCATTCCTAAATTGATAGGTAAGTAATATGTGTTTAGATGCCCTAAACTGGTTTCTTTTTGAGGGAGCAAGGAGGCTATCCCTCAGGATTTGGTTGGTCTGGAGATCTGTGTCTTAAATCACTAGCATGACTTGTCTTCTGAGATATAAATACCTGAATCTATGAAGAATTGATATTCATGGGGTTTCACAAAATTCCTACCACCTTGTGGGATGTCTTTTTGACCTGGCAATACTCGATGACCATGGGTTTGGCTGAGTGATTTGGGTCTGGAGGGAACAGGTCTGCTTAATCAAAGGTTCTGCCCTTTGGGGTCAGGACCAATGGGGAATTTTGCTGATGCCTCTTACTACATACAGTTGTGGGGCATGTTGGTGCTCATCAGAGAGATAATATGTCTTCTGTTGAACTGAGTAATCAGGTTGGTTGTATTGTGTGAATGACAGAGACTGTTCCCTAAGTCCATCATCAGTCTGGATATGGTGCCGTGATGTTATGTTGCAGTGAGCAGGGGATCATACGATTCCTTTAAGGATGAGGTAGCTACTTCTATTCAAAAGACTCCTCAAGTCACCTGATAGACATATGCCCTTGAAAGGTCAGTATGGCATGATGCCAGATGGTTTAGGGCCTGCCTCCACCTGGCAAATTGATTATATTGACCATTAGGGAATCTCAGGGCAAGAAGTTTGTACAATTAATATTTATTCAGGATTTGGTATTGCAGTGCCATTCAAGTTTGCCACAATAACAGCTACCACAAAAACTCACAAAATAGATAATTCTTTTTCATAGGCACTTTTGCACCACTGCCTTAGAGCAGAGAATCCATTTTGCTGCCAAGGAAGTCTGAGATAAATCTAAACACCATCACATCCTCAGGCAATTGGTATTATTGAATACTGGCATGAATTCTCAAAACAGCAACTTTGTCATCATACTCCTTGTCATAGTTTGGATGTATCACTTTCCACAAGCTGTGTGTCATAAAATAGCAGCATCATAGGATGGAAGATAGTTCTCCAGTCTAATAGTTTCTTGGATCAGGTTTCCATGAGGACTTCCCTGATTAGGATAAATTACTTTTAGACATAGTCTCAATTGAACCCCTCCAGCCCTTCCTTATGCCATCTCTTCATGGAATCAAGAAGGTTTTTGCCTACTCCTGCTTCTGGAGATGTCTAGAAAGGGCTTGGGGGACCAATGGGTAGATTTTGGGGGAGGTTTCTTGCTTATCTAATGATATGGGGAGGTGAAACTGCATTTAGATGATTATGGAAAATATAAATTCACCTGGGATAAAGAGTATCATTTAGCCAATGTAAAACAATACTGATTCCCTTAGATGAAGATGAGGGGGAGCCTTTATCCAGCTACCACAAAGAAGGAGGCAGGTACTTAGTAGAGGATTTTAAAGAGGCAAAGATTTGATATCAGTTCCTAATAGAACTCCCAAAAGGAGGGAGGCTCTGGCTAGTCAGCTAGAGAACATTGAATGGTGGTAAGAAAAGAGTCTTAGTGTCAACTCAGGCCCTTCCCATGAAGAGGATCAGTGACCATGTCAAAGGTATGATGTAGTCCCAGTGCTGTCTCCAATTCATTATCACTGCTTTTCTTTGGAAGAAACACTTTGAATTGTCCCTAATGCCATCCACACTGCATAGACTACTTTTTTTAGAGGACTTTTAAAATTTTGGTTTTTAAAAAAAATTTTTCTTTCACTAAATTCCTTCTCTAGGCTCTCCATCTCCAAGGTTAGAGATGCTTATTAACAATCCTGAGGCCATTTTATCAACAGAAAATCCCATGAAGATTTTGAGGACTTTACCACCAAGGAGTGGGATTTGGTAACAGTATCTATTTTACACAGGCTAGACTGGTTTCCCTTTAAGGGAAAAGTGGGATATCCTTGGGATTTGGTTGGTCTTGAGGATTAGAGCTTGAACCAAAGTCAAGGCTTCGTTGTTGCCTGAGGCATAAAAATCTCAGCCTAGGTGGAATTAGGTTTCCTGAAGTTTGATGACATTTCCCCGTTGCCCTAAAGAGATGTTGCCTTGGCTGATGAGGAGGCCAAGAACAGTTTTTGTTTCAATTAATAATTATATCCCTTTTCAGATCTTATTTTGTGTGTATTTATTTTTGCCACATTTTAGGGTTCACATATTTTACTGTGTTCTAATCCTGGGCCCAAATGACTGGCCTGGTCTGAGCTAAACGTAGACCATAATACTCTGTCATCCCAGGTAAGTGATATCTTCTTCCTGAAATTTCTCATAGTACTTTGCCTAGACCCCAACTTTACACTGATCTTATATTTCTTGGTATTACAGTTATGTTCCCTTGTCCAACACCACATTGGCTTGTAAGCTTCTTGAGAACACAGTCTGTGTTGTATCAATCCTTGTATTCTCAGTACCTGATACTGTCTTGCATATAAATAATGTTTAATAAATTTTAAAATTTCATTTCTTAAAATTGAATGTAGTCTCAAATCATGTATGTTAAGAAAGGTGCTGTAGAAACATCTTATGGCTCCACCTCCTCCCATCCTCTCTGCAGAGAATCCTGCCTCATACTTTGCTGAAAAAGTTGAGGTCATTTGCTGAGAGCTCCTTCTTTTCCCCTCTTTATTATCTCACATCATCCAGATGCAGAATATCACTATTGCCTCCTTCATCCCTGTCTCACATAATGATGTGGCCCTTCTTGTAAAAGCATGCAAAAAGTGCTACGTGCAAAAAGTGATCCCATTCCACCTCATTTTCTCCAGCAGGTTGCCCCTCCGTCCTCCTCTCACATGTCTTCAATATCTCCCTGTCTATTTGCTTCTCAGTTTCGTAGAAACATGCCAATATCTTCCCCATCCTCAAACAGGCATCACTTGATCCAACCATCCCCACATCTCTCCTGCCTTTTTTGTGGGTAAGCTTTTTGAGAAGGCCATCTACAATAAATTTAGGCAATTCCTTTCCTTTCTCTCTTAACTCTTTCCAGTCCAAATTCTGACCTCACCATTCACTGAAACTGCTTCCTTTAAAGTTGCTACTAATGCTCTTTTTTAAACCTTTTTTCTTTTAAAAAATATCTGTTTTAAACTTAAAAAAATTAGTTCCAAATTCTTGCCTTTCCTGCTGCTCCTCCCTCACCTGCTGAGAATAAGATGTAGATTATACATGTGAAATCATGCAAAATATATTTCCATATTAGTTATATGCTGAAAAAAAACCCAAAGAGGTAAGAACACTATAATTCAGTTTGCACTCAGACCACTTCTTTTCTCTGGAAGTGGTTAGCACTTTTCATCATGAGTCCTTTGGAATTGTCTTGGATCATTGTGTTTATAAAAGTATCTAAGTCTTTAAAAGTTGATCATCATTATAATGTTGTGGCTCCTGGTTCTGTTCACTTCACTTCGCATCAGTTTATATAGGTCTTCCAAAGCGTTCCTGAAGCCATCTCCCTCATTTCTTATAGAAAAATATTACTCTGTCACAAGCATATGCCACAACTTCTTCAGTCATTCCTCAGTTGATGGGCATCCCCTCAGTTTTCAATTCTTTGCCACCACAAAAAGAGTTGCTATAAATGTTCTTGTACATATTAGTCCTTTTCTCTTTCCTTTGATCTTTTTGGAGGTACAGAGCTGGTAGTCATATTGCTGGTCCAAAGGGTATGCAGTTTTACAGCCCTTTGGGTATAATTTCAAATTGCCCTCCAGAATGGCCGAACCAGTTCATAACTCCACCAACAATTAATTATTTCTCTTATCTCTTTCAGCATTTGTCATTTCTTTTTTTTTTTACTTTTTTTTTTAAAGGCAATTGGGGTTAAGTGACTTGCTCAGGGTCACACAGCTAGTAAGTGTTAAGTGTTTGGTCTGAGGCCAGATTTGAACTCAGGTCCTCCTGACTTCAGGGTTGGTGCTCTAATCCACTGTGCCACCTAGCTTCCCCTAGCATTTGTCATTTCTGATAGGTGTGAGGTGGTACTTCAGAATTGTTTTAATTTTCATTTCTCTAAGCAATAGTGATTTAGAGCATATGACTATAGATAGCTTTGATTTCTTCTTCTGAAAATTGCCTGTTAATATCTCTTAACAATTTCTCAATTGGAGAATGACTCTTGTTTTTATAAATTTAACTCAGTTCCCTATAGATTTGAGAAAAGAGGCTTTTATGAGAAAAATGCTGTAAAATTTTTGGTATTACTTCATTGACTGTGGCT